AACCACCTGTATTACTATCATATACTAATAAAATGTTTAAAAATGTGACTTTTTAGAGCTCCTATAGACCAAAAATCAGAATATATTCTGAAATTGAGTCTAGAAATCCTGAAGTTGTATCTGTAGGGAAGGTCATACTATAGTATTTGGTTTTCACAAGCTCTCCGGGATTCTTACACAGATCTGAGAACTACTCTTCTCATGGTCCCACTTCTTTGTTTTGGTTTTAAATGATTCTGAGGAAGATCCTGCCCCCACCACAAACAATTGGCTTTCCTTTGGGTTATTCTTCCACAGAGTTGACCCTTTTACTGTTCTACGAATTATCTTTCAGAGAGTTCTAAAAATTTCTCATCATTTATAGCAGTCCTTCTAAGCCTGTTTACCTATCTTTATCTTGAAATATATGTGTATTTCGTATCTATATGACAGTAGTAAAAGTATATTTCATGTCTATCTATTTATTTAAAAGTAATAAAATTATACTTCATAGCCTTCATGGCTTTCATTATTTCAGGATGGCCTTTCATCAATCTAAATATTATGATATTAAAAATAAAATGTGTAGAAAGTTTCATCATCAGTTTTTCAGAGCTCTACCACTTTTCAGTGCTCTACCACTGAATAAATGCTACTGATTATCTTCTGAACATTCACTATAGTTTTCTTCTTGGTCACCAGAGTCCCCATTACCATCTACTCTCAGGATAAATCCTGCTAGATCGAAGCTAATTTTGGTAGTCTGGTTCCCCTTGCCTGTGGTTCATTTAGGAGAAGGTATGTAAAGCGTTCTAGCCAAGCTGGTGGTATGGTTGAAGTGGTAGGGCACCTGCCTAGCTGCCTAGCAAGCGTAAGACGCTGAGTTCAAATCCCAGTGTTGCCAGAAGTAAATAAGAAATAAAGAACTATAGCCAAATAGCTGTAAAGAGAGTGTGTTTGGTGGTTTGGGGCATCTTTCCCCCTTGCTTTTACAGGTCCTTCCTGCATCTGGGTGACCCATTTGGATATGATGCTGCATATGGTGATGGAACTGCAGCCATCTCCTGGTAGCAAGGAACCTAGCTTTGGATTGAAGCCAGTGCTGAGGTAGCAGCATGGAGACAGAAAGAACATAAAAATACTTGGTAACATTGCTGAGCCTCTGGATCAGCTACACCTGACACTACCTTACCTCTGTTACTTGGAGCTCAAAGCATCTTAACTGATTAAAAAAACCAAAAAACCAAAAAAACAAAAACCCTCTGCTTTCAAATACATAACAATGTTTTTATAAACTGTAGAAAGTATTTTGCTACAAACCTTAGGGGGAAATCAATTTCAACCATATTTTATAAATTACCTCTTCCCCTATGTCAAAATCCAAAATTTATATATATCCAAATATCTTCATATATATATATGTGTGTGTGTGTGTGCATATATATATATGTATATATATATATATGTATATATATATGTGCATATATATATATATGTATATATATACATATATATATATATACACATAGTATTGTATTTTTCCTTCTTTCCATTCTTTCTTTCCCTGTGTGGTGCCGGGGATCAAACCCAGGGCCTCACCATGCTAGCCAAGTATCTTACCACTGAGCTGCAACCCCCCAGTCCTAAAACTCTTTAAACAGCAAAAGAATTACATTAAGTTGAATAGGTAAAAGTCACTCCTATTCCCAGCTCCCTAAAAAGTGAGGATTTAAAACATAAAGAAATGGGCAAGTGAACTAAACAGAACTTTCTCAAAAGAAGAAATTCAAATGGCCAAAAAACACATGAAAAAATGCTCACCATCTCTAGCAATAAAGGAAATGCAAAGTAAAACCACACTAAGATTCCACCTCACCATAGAATAGCCATCATTAGCAACACCACCAACAACAGGTGTTGGAGAGGATGCAGGGGAAAAAGGAACCCTCTTACACTGTTGGTGGGAATGTAAACTAGTACAACCACTCTGGAAAAAAAATTTGGAGGCTACTTAAAAAGCTAGACATTGATCTACCATTTGATCCAGCAATACCACTCTTGGGGATATACCCAAAAGACTGTGACACAGGTTACTCCAGAGGCACCTGCACACCCATGCTTATTGCGGCACTATTCACAATAGCCAAGTTATGGAAACAGCCAAGATGCCCCAGCACTGACGAATGGATTAAGAAAATGTGGTATCTATACACAATGGAATTTTATGCAGCCATGAAGAAGAACGAAATGTTATCATTCACTGGTAAATGGATGGAATTGGAGAACATCATTCTGAGTGAGGTTAGCCTGGCCCAAAAGACCAAAAATTGTATGTTCTCCCTCATATGTGGACATTAGATCAAGGGCAAACACAACAAGGGGATTGGACTTTGAGCACATGATAAAAGCTTTAGCACACAAGGGAGGGGTGAGGATAGGTAAGACACCTAAAAAATTAGCTAGCATTTGTTGTCCTTAACGCAGAGAAACTAAAGCAGATACCTTAAAAACAACTGAGGCCAATAGGAAAAGGGGACCAGGAACTAGAGAAAAGGTGAGATCAAAAAGAATTAACCTAGAAGGTAACACACACGCACAGGAAATCAATGTGAGTCAACTCCCTGTATAGCTATCCTTATCTCAACCAGCAAAAACCCTTGTTCCTTCCTATTATGGCTTATACTCTCTCTACAACAAAATTAGAAATAAGGGCAAAATAGTTTCTGCTGGGTATTGAGGGGGTTGGGGGAGAGGGAGGGGGTGGAGTGGGTGGTAAAGGAGGGGGTGGGGGCAGAGGGGAGAAATGACCCAAGCCTTGTATGCACATATGAATAATAAAATAAAAAAAACATAAAGATACCTGATTCCACATCTTCTAATTTCTAGAGGCTCAAAGAAGTTTGAGTATGTACAATAAATCTCTATTTTATTAACAAATAATTTAAGAGGTGAATTATCTGACTTCAAATTTAATTTTCCTTTTAAAAAATGGCCAGGTCACAAATTTGGCTCTGATCTATAAGACCAAAAATAGTACTTATATACAACTGGGAACTTCCTGACCTCTGAGCATCCTGAAGCTTGAGCTGTGCCCACCCTCCCAACTTAATATCAGAAGTGAAAGAGAGTAGATAGATACAGATGGAAGGACTAGAATGGGTAGAGTAGAGAAAGGTCCAGCATTGGGGACCATCTGAAGCAGCTCTATCCTTCATAACTTACATTGTTTATAAAAATTTCATGAAAGTTTATAAAAATGGGTACTTATTCCATTTTTTTAATCTTAAGAAGGCCGTGTATGGATAAGAAGCGCCAGGGTCATAAACCGACACGAAAGCATCAGCATCTCTACAATCATAACGTGAACTCTTAGCAAGTAATTAGTTTGATGGACTTCAGTGAGACAGGGTGTTTCTCCTGACTCTTATCAATTCTCATCATTCATGTCATAAGTCATGTTAAAATATAGTTAATAACACCTCAAAAGCATGTGTTAATATTAGATGGGACAGCTCTCTCTACATGCAAAGAATTATTCACAAACTTGCTCAAGAAAAATTAATTCATGCAAAAACCAATGTTTAACATCTCTGCTAACTTTCCAAGATTCTACCTATATTCTAAGTTTTGGCATGACCTCTTAGTTTAGAGTGCTAGCACTGCCTCCCTATTCCTGGACTGTACCCATTTTGAGCTCAAAGAAGTAAATGTCACACAGTAGTTGTGGTCTGTTAAGACTGCTTTCCTCATGAGGCATCCATATGGTTGCCTCATATGGATGTTATCAGAGGAAGGGGAACATGATTTTTATGACCACCATCTTGTTTCTTTTTCATGTTTCTTATCTCCCAGAAACTTACTGGGTCTGAGGGGTCTGTGTGCTGGGGATGGGAGGTGGGTGGTGGTGGAGGGGTGTCATCCAAAGACTCCCTGTTTGCCCATTCCTTCATTCCAGCCATCAAACACAGACATCTAAAGTATTATACTCACTGTACTATTAACTATGGCATTATAAAATACAAACATGTGGTTCTTCTTGTTTTTTAAAAATAAACCATTTTGGCTACAAATAATCCAAGTATACATTAATTTGATGTGATATTTTTGGATTTTGTTCTTTCTTATGTTGTTTGATATTTGATTAAACACATTGTTCTTAGGAATAGCCATGATCGACACAACCATTTAGTTGCTAAGCATACTAAATATTTATATTTCTTATGAGCTTCATTCTTCTGAAATACAGGAGTTGAAAACTAGAGCTAAAAGACTGTATGTCACACAGCAAAATAATTTACTTTTCAAATGTACATTCTATTTTAATGTTATAATTATTGATATACTGTATTTATACTGTAATTTCTGAAATAAAATTAATTTTTAAAAGAAATAGTGCTCTGGATAATTTATAAGGCCATTTCTTATCATTTTGCTTTCCAAGATTTTCTTTCTTATACAATGCATAAAATGTCAGTATTTCAAAGATGTCCAACTCTTTTTTGAACCTAAAATTGGTAATTTTTAGAAACAACTTCAATATTGTTTCTTGTGGACAGATAATGAGCAGATAAAGATTAGAAAAAAGTTGACAGAATATTTCACATTAAGTTACTGCATTTGAACAACCAGGGAAAGCATTAATATATGGATAGGTAAGTTTCTATACTTGCTCTTAGCCAAAAGGCCAAGACTCAATTGCTTAGTTTCTTATTGAGGGAAAAAAACGCTTTGTGTTTACAGGTATTTCAATAAACAATCTAGGCCAGTAGAGTAGCCAAGAAAAGCAGCAGTAGACTACTACCCACACAAGTGAATCACTGACAAAAGGGCACAGAAGGCACTTTAGGATCTTTCTAAATTCTTCATTTTGTGACATTAACAGGACAATGCAATCTTACAAGTTGTTTGATATTCGGACCTGGGGATAATGAGGTCAATCTCCAATACCACTAAAACAAATAAACGTGCAAATAAAATTTACAAAGTAGTTTTTAGAAGTTGTTTAGTATTCATTATCTTACATGAGCATTTCTTTACACTTGTCCAGCTCCATCATTGTCCGCTGAAGTTTCAACCCCAGTGCCTCCACTTGGCACTGTAAATCTGAAATGATATAATGTATTCATATCATTAGCACATTTAAGTGTTCAGCTATTTTCACAAAGTACACCATATTCTTTTAAAGTTGCCCCTCAGCTCCTAAAGAATAACGCAGCTGTCTATTGCACTTGTATGACCATATGCAACTTGTCCAAGCATGCTACGTCCTAACACCTCATAGAATTAATGGGTCTTGACAGACCTGATTTGTTGGCCTTTTTGTGCCCTTACAATCATGCTAATTTGCAAACAGCAAATAAGCTAACTTTATCACTGTTTTCAAAGGAAATTCATGTAGCTGACACACAAATGAATTTCTGATCACTCAGTTCACTTCTGAAACATTTGAATGCCTGAGAGTTCACTCTTGTGATACAGAACCAAGAAGCACTGCTGAGTCATTCAGGTAGAACTGAAATAGATAAACCATGTGCTAGGCTCACAGTCAACAATTTGTTAACTCTGGGTAGCAGCTAAAAGACATTTCAAAGACTTTCAAAGTCAAGAGAATATGGCAGGAAATTGGTTCCCAGAGTGTTGAGTTAGGGAATTTAAGAAGTGCTTGAAGAAGATTATTCACTAAACCATGTCTAATGTGTGTAGGTATGTACCTGAAACTAAAGCAGAAATAAATGGCTTGACTTATCTAAGTCCTGCCATGAGTTTGTATATAAGAACCATGAGCTGAACCTCAGCACCAATGACAACACTTTCTAGTACTCTTCAGGAATAACTTAAGGCAGGAAATAAACTTACACAGATAAATTAAATGGTTTCCACAGAAGAAGTAATTCAAAACACAGGAATTATGAAATTTCTATATTCCACCCACCCCAAGTGTTTTAATAGTATATTTTAACAGTAAATTTTAAAATCATTACTCAGTCATACCAGTACATAAAACTTCTATCAAATCTTTAACCTGCTTTCTTATCTTTGTTTTATAAAGAACCAGTCCTTAACTCAGAAAACAAATTCCTTCTACACACGTTCTGATTAGAATTTACCAGACATTTGAGATAGAGAGATGGTGGGCGTGTCTAACAAATATGCAATATAAGCCTATTTGGAATTGTCAAAAAAAAAGAATTTACTAGAAATTTGTATTAATCTGTTTATCCAGTAATTTCATATATTATTTTTAATTAATTATTTTAATTCACAAATGAAAGTTATCTTTATCATGTACAACATATTTTGAAATATACATACATTGTGGAATTACCAAACCAAGCTATTAATGTACATTATCCCATACACATCATTTTTTTGAGGTGGGAACATGTAAAATATGTTTAGATTTTCAAGAATACAAAGCATTGTTATTAAGTACAACCACCATGTTATATATAATAGAGTTCTTGAACATATTCCACATTTCTAAATGAAACATTTGTATTCTTTGACTAACATCTCATCGCACACATTATTTAATTTTATCCCTCACACTGTCACATAGGTACTAAGAGCCCCATCTTTCAGATGAGGAAAAGAATGAGGTCCTTTGCCTAGCATCTTAAAATCAGTGAATGAATCATTGGCCCCTCAAACAAGATTCAGTTATGGATTGACTAAATAGATAGTATCTGTAGAGTATATTTTTTCCATTTATCAAGTAATATCATTATAAGGAAGAAAGGAGAAAATAACCCACACATGGAGAATTTATTTTTGAATGTAACCTTTCAAAAAAGGCAAAGTTGTGAATGTTATATAGTGTGTTGCTTTGTTATTAAGATCAAGTGGGGTTGCTAACAGGTTCTATTCACACAGGTACAGCCAAAAGGTTTTGACTCACACTCTGAAGAATGAGGAGGGAGGATGTTGATGCTTAGTGATGGTACACTGTGTCCAGCCACTGAGCATGGTCATGTATCACCTCATTTCTTAGTTACCACTACCATGAATAACAGGTATACACTTTATTTTTACAGGGGTAGATTCTAAGGATCATAGTAATTATATCTTGTACAAGTTCATACAGTTAGTTAGTCTTTCTCTTTCATGCTGACTCTTGAAATATAAAAGCTGCAAGGGAATATGACATTTGTCCAAGAAAGTGCTGTTAGCATAGCTACAGGTCAGTTATCACATTCCAAGACTCTTTAAAAAGGTATACTTAAAATAAATAAGAATTACTATGTTGCAAAAAATATGTAGTAAACTAATAGACTGTCTAACTCCAAAGGGTGGTTGAGATTTTATTTTTTGAAAGTTTAAAAACCAGTACATTATAACTAATGCAAGACATTAAGCCTACCATAGTGTCATTGTGACTAATTTTATGAGACTAATGTCAGAGAAACAATTATATTTTCCTTTGAAATGACCCTTGGTGTTTTTGTCAGGATATAATCCTAAACTAGAATCTGAACTGATGGGATTAATTTTATCTTAGTACTTCTAATACAGCTATACTTAAAAACTGATTGTCTTAAATATAAACCCCAAAGAATTGGTACTTGCTATGTGGATTTTATATAATTAATTCTCAATTACTTGAGAATTAGGAGAACAGTAGATGGTAAAAATAGCCTATTTTATAGCATTAAAAATATTTTGAGCCAGGCATAGTGGTACATGCTTATAAGCCCAGCACTCAAGAGGTTGAGGCAGAAGGATCATGAGTTTGAGACCAGACTGGGCTACCTACCAAGCCCAAAAACAAAAACCAAAAAAACACAGAGTTTGTCTCCCACCCCTGCACTACTAGCAGAAGGTATTTTCTCCTCTTTTTAAAAAAAATTTTCCCTACTTTTATCTTATTATAGTAAAATAAGTCCTTGCTAAAACTTCAAAAACAAAAAGCAAAAAGTATTCTGAGGCTCACGTTTAAATATGCTTATGTATGATAGTTCTAGAATCTACAGGGATCAAAGCAAAATAAAACTATGCTACCATGATACAACTCAAGAGGAAAGGAAAAGGAAAGCTATTATACTTTTCTAATGCTATTCTCTCTGCCTACCCACCTCAATCTCCCTTTGCCCCACTGTTTCAAAATAAACTAAGCTTAGTCTTTAATCCACCAAACCCAATGAGTAGAGAAGCTGCTTCTCCAAGATTATTTACTATGCAACTTACAGCAACTTGAGTAAAAATTGGGAAAGTAAACCAATGTTTTATTTTAAAAAACAAGAACTTCAGCTAGGCATGGTTGCTTATGCTATAATCCCAGTGGCTCAGGAGGTGATGATTAGGAGAATTGTGGTGGATTGCAATGGGAGGCCAGCCTAGGGAAAAAGTTAGTGGGACTTCATCTCAACCAACAAAACTGGGAGTGGTGGTACGCTCCTGTGGTGGTTCTAGAGAGATGTAAATAGGAGGATGTAGTCTGGGTTTGGCCGTGGCAAAAATGCAAGACCCTATCGGAAAAATAACTAAAGCAAAAAGGGATGGGTGTGTGGCTCAAGTGACAGGCTCTGAGTTCAAAACCCCAGTACTACTAGAAAAACAATAACAATAAAAGAAGAACTTCTGAAGGCTGTCATGTGAAGTAAACAGAAACAGAAAACATTAATGTCAATAAAGAAACCATTTTATATAAGCAGAGAAGACATTACAGAGTTGAGAAAATAAAGTTCATAATGAATAATCCATAATGTAAAAAGTCTCTTTGTGTATAATTGGCAGTTGATTAATATATTTTCATGGCTGTTTTTCTTCTTTTTAAACTTTTGGTTATACTTTCTGCAATCAAGAAGTGCTAAGATTTATTATTTCAAAAACAAAAAACACAACAGACATATCTTTGTGGTTCTGAATGAGGTACAAGCATCCTACGGGTTTATTATAGGTTCTGGTAGACTAGTAGGGTCCCTTTGTTTTCAGAAGCAGTGTGCCCAGTTCCTGTCCTTAATAAATAAAGGAACACAGTTAGGATAAGCAGTAGAGAGATTAAGCCACCTGCACCAAACAGCTCCTTCAGTTTCTGAGGCAAGGAGTTTTTTAAATAAGTGTATTGTTCTGTGCAGTCCTTCTGTATAGTTAAATAAATTCAGCTTCAATTTTCCGTCATTCAGCATGACATTGGATTATGAGGCAAAAGGCCCTGAATGCCTACAAAAAGAAAGGAAGCACTGGCTTTAAACACCATGCAGATGTAAGGCGGAACCCATGGAAACAATCCAAAATTTACAACAGCACAGTCTACTATGATGTGACTGCATTCTTTGCAGATATTAAATAAGAAGCAAATGATTTTAAATGAACAAAACAAAAACGAGCTCTTAGCCTCTCTTCATACGAAGCCAGCTGCTTGCTGGATAATGTTACATAGGCATCAAATTTGGGGTAATTAGTCATTTAAGAGAATCCTGTTATTCTGAAAGGTTTCTAGAAACTACAAATAGAAAAGGTATTCATAGTTAACTATTTTATAGGAAGATATAAAATTTTAATAGTGACCTGGAAGGCATATTAAATTAATATAATGCTTGAGAAAACAATAAATAAGATTTTTATAGTAGAAAGATATTTTAAGCTCAAAATTTTCTTGTAAACATCAAAATGTAAAAATATGGTCCAAAGGGCTATTTGGAGGAAAATGATTCAAGGTTCAAGCAGCAGAATGGAAGAACAATGGGAGAAATGGTAGCACCCAGAGACTTGAATAAATTTTTTTTAATGAGGAATTGAAGGTTGTATTTTTTTAATGGTAGAGATAACAGAAGACAAGGAAAAACAAACTCTCAGTCCTCTAACACACACTAACCCAGGAGAGTTTAGAGGTCGAGTACATGAGTTCTAAAACCAGACTGACTAATTTCAAATCCTGGCTCTACTTGCTTCCTACTAGCTATCTGTAGGTGGTTACTATTGTACAGGACTCTATCCATTAAAAGACTTCATAGATGTAAAGGAGAACAGTGACAGGCACACTGAGAGCACCGCCTAAATGCCAACTATTACAGGTAGTGGCGTTAGGGCCACTCCTCCATTTCTGCTCTGAATTTCATCACTTCTCACCTGAGGATCTTATTTTGCACTTGGGCCTGGAGTCA